CAATCCTGACTTTGGCTTTGTTGGTGATATGAAGTTCAACCTTCACATGCAAACCCCATGTTAATATATAAAACTTTTCTAATTTGTAAACAACCTTAAGATTTAGATGGATAACTGAATTTTATAAAATCCACATATATGAAAACAACCAAAAAGCCTTAGCCTACATCCTTAGGTAGGGAAGAAAATTAAAGAAAAAAATTCACTAAAAGAATTTCATTTACTTTTGATTTTAAGCTAACTTATTTCCATTCTACCTGCTGTACTACATTTTTTAAAATTTTCCTTAGAACATTTCCTAGATTTTGAAATGAATCCATTTTCTATTTATTTTAAAGAGAGAAATCTGTTGGGATATTTTAAACATTCCATATAAAATCACTTGAATTAACCAAAATGTTTTAATTTGTGACAGGAGTGGTAAGTTTCACTTTCATTGAAAGGATTTCCCTTTCTTCACCCTCCATAACTTGGTCTGTAGTTAGTCCCCTGTATTGAGAGGATAGCTTTTACATTTCAATTCTATACTGCTTAGTCTTCATGGCAAAACAGTCCAAGCCACAATAGGAAACTTTAATTTTGTATCTCAGCTAACCTTCCTTTTGCCTGCTTCTCCTTTTTAAAAATAATTTTTATGCCGGCACCATGGCTCACTAGGCTAATCCTCTGCCTGTGGCACCGGCACCCCGGATTCTAGTCCTGTATGGGGCGCCGGATTCTGTCCTGGTTGCTCCTCCTCCATTCCAGCTCTCTGCTGTGGCCCAGGAGTGCAGTGGAGGATGGCCCAGGTCCTTGGGCCCTGCACCCACATGGGAGACCAGGAGAAGCACCTGGCTCCTGGCTTTGGATCTGTGCAACGCGCTGGCTGCAGCTTGCCAGCCGCAGCAGCCATTTTGGGGGTGAACCAACGGAAGGAAGACCTTTCTCTCTGTCTCTCTCTCACTGTCTAACTCTGCCTGTCAAAAAAAATTTTTATTTTAATTTTAAATTGGTTTTTAACAGATATAATGTTCTTTGTATATACAATTCTAAGAACATAATGAAACTCCCCTCTTCTCTCCTTCCCTCTGTCCCTCCCACTATCCTTCCTTGTCCTTCTTTCTTTTTTTAAAGTTTTTGAGATAACATGCTTCAAGTTTGCATTAGCAAAAAGGCTTAACACTTCAATGAATAAGGAGTTTAGCAAATAAAAAGCAAAAAGAAACTATGAAGTGTAACATTGTATTTGAAAGAGTTATCAGAGAGAGACAGAAAGATCTTCCATCTGCTGGTTCACTCTGGTGGTCGCAATGGCTAGTGCTGGGCTAGGCTGAAGCCAAGAGCCAGGAGTCCCATGTGGGTGGCAGTGGCCCAAACACTTGGGCCATTTATACAGCCCATTGGCAGGGAGCTGGGTTGGAAGTTGAGAAGCTGGTACACAAACCCACCGCCCATATGGAATACGTGCAAGGCCAGCCACTCCCGTTTCTCCTTCTAAGATGGTGTCACTAGTGTGATGAAAAGGGTCTCATACAACAGTATGCTCTTGCTTGGTGGAGGGTTGTTATTGTCCCCTGGGGCATGACAATGCTGGTGCAATCACTGTTCATCCATCCGATAGGAGTAAACCATAGACTGTCTTCTCTAGGATTGGTCAGAGGTTTGTGATGAACCAGGCTTTATCTTGGCTCTAGATGGTGGGAAAAACTGACTTAGTTTTGGCCAATTCCTCTATTTGTTTCTTGACCTGGGAAGCCAGCACCACAACCACTGCCCATAAGATTAACATATCCCCAAGGGTTCCCAAGGCTAACCTGCAGGATCTCAGTTCTGCTTCCTTCCTAACCTGCTTCAAATGACAGTGGGCTCTTTTCAGGCCAATCCACACTGAGAGGGGGGCAAGAGGAAATACTGAATTTATTATTTTTTAAAGATGCATTTATTTAATTGAAAGGCAGAGTCACAGAGAGGCAGAGGCAGAGAGAGAGAAGCCTTCCATCCTCTGATTCACTCCCCAAATGTCCGCAACAGCCAGAGCTGGGCCGATCAAAAGCCAGCAGCCAGGAGCTTCTTCTGGGCCTCCCTCATAGGTGCAGGGGCTTAAGGACTTGGGTCTTCTTTTACTGTTTTCCCAGGCCACACAGAGTGCTGGATCAGAACTGGAGCAGACAGGACTTGAACCAGTGCCCATATGGGATGCCAGCACCGCAGGCAGTGGCTTACCAGCCCCAACACTGGGTTTAAATTGAGGCCCTGGGGCCTGTGTTATGTGCAGCGGGTTAAGCACTTTGGAGTGCTAGTTGGAGTCTGACTGCTCTGCTTCCAATCCAGCTCCCTGCTAATGTGCCTGGGAAAGCAGCAGATGATGCCCTAAGAACTTGGGCCCCTGTCACCCATGTGGGAGATCAGAATGGAGTTCCAGGATCCTGGCTTCAGCCTAGACCAATCCCAACTCTTTCCCTCCTTATTTCTCCCTCTTTCTCTGTAACTTTATCTTTCAAATAAAAGAAATATATGTTAAACTGAAATCCCCATCTCTGCCCCTGTACATGACCAACCTTATTTTAACTTAAGGAGAAACATCCATGTGGTACAGGGCACCTTGAAAGGTGGCTTCTTCCTGACTTGTGATGAACATAGGCCCTCTACCTGCCATCCTTCAGATGAGCTCTTCTCCCTTTGGGGGTTTCCAATTCTAAAGAGCTCAACCCTCCCCCAACACACACAAACCCGACCCACCCCCTCAAACCTCACCACTCTGATTCTACCTCTAGTTCCAGTTTCACAATGCTGTATCTTCAACCCACTTAGTAAAAATTCTAGAATTTGGTCAACCAGATACAGCCCTGTAATACATAAAATGAGTGATAAAGGGTTAGTATATCCTGTTTCCTCCAACCTGTTTTGCCATTTGTTCATTCTGGATGAAAAATATTATTTCTCAGACTCTCTAGGTGGCTGTAAAGGAAAGATTATTTTAAATAATTAATTTCAAGTATTTAATATTTCAGAATGATTATCTTCATTGGAACCTTTTTACTAAGACATAGAAAAGGTTATGGAATCTATAAGAGAACTAATTAATCATTTCCCTTTCTTTCACCTTGTAAACTTTTTAATGTAATTCTTCTATCTTATTTAACTCTGTGTCCTTTTGTAAAAATGCAAAATGAGATGAGAACTATACTATAGTCATATGATACTGTAATAGAAATATGCTATTAAAAATGAATCAATAAAAATAAAGGGGCCAGCATTGTTGCATAGTTGCACTGCTGCCTGCAGTGCTGGTAAAACATGTGGGCACTGGTTCAAGACCTGGCTGCTCCACTTCCGATCCTGATCCTTGCTCGTTTGCCTGGGAAAGCAACTGAAGATGACCCAAGTGCTTGGGCCTCTGTAACAAATGGGAGATCCAGAAGAAGCTCCTGATTCCTGGCTTTAGCCTGGTCCAGCCCTGGCTTTGTGGCCATTTGAGGAGTGAACTAGTGGATAGAAGACCTTTTCCCTCTCTGTCTCTGCCTCTCTCTATGTAACTCTTTCAAATAAATAAATCTTTCAAAAAGAAATACGATATTAATAAAGCACTTTAGCAGGTGTACCTAAAGTAACTGAATTCCTGCCACAAACCCACATCCAAGACCTGATTGAGTTTCCGACTCCTGGCTTTTGCCCTGTTTCAATTTTGACCATTGAGAGCAAGTAGGGAGTGAACCAGCATATGAGGGTTCTCTCTTCTGTTTCTGCCTTTGCCTCTATCTCTTTCTCTCTCTCTATCTCTAAAAATAAATAAGAAAAATGGCATGGCTTCAAGGTCATTTTTTAAAGACAGCATATCAGCTGAGGAATTCTCGTTGACATCATCTTCTGTACCTGCAGTCTGCCACAGAAATTCTCTCATGACAGCAAGATGCCCTTTGCTTTGCCACTCAATAATAAATAGTACTCTACTGCTGGATTCTTGTGTTGGATACGTTGTGTTTTCTCCCTTCATAATGTAATGGCTCCAATTTTTCCATGTGTCTTGTAACTCTTATCTTCCTAATTAACCATTGTCCTCTTGTATGATTTTATGTACCTCTCAGGTTGTCCTTTATAGTATGAGATGTATAAAGCACTAACAGGTATCTGTTCTTGTACAGTGGTCGGTGAGAACTATTGCTCAATTACATATAATTGAATTATACTTACCAATCATCTCCTCCCCCTTGGAGCAGGAGAGAGAACCAAGAATATTTTCTGATTGTTGTAGCCATTTGGCTTGTCACTTTCCATAGCGGGACAAGATATGGGAGCTGGACTGAGTAGCTCCTATCCTTAAAAAAACTGTTTTCTTTTTCAAGTGAGTACATTTATGGTATGCAAAACCCACAACCTATTCTTGTGCATGAGCACCAAACCATAAAATTTCCAAATACATACAGAAAAGGAACTTCTGTACCTAGACATAACCACAGGCAAAAGCTGTATTTACTAGCTAGAAATGCAGTTGTTTGGATGAGCTTTGTAACTAATTTTTTTCCGGAAGTATGTACTTCAGTAACTAGTATCAAATCTTCAATGGCACAAAGGTAGAATGAAAGTGACTGGAACCCCAGAGATCTGACACATAATCCCAGTTTTGTATATTTGCCTCCATTCTCGCTGTAGTCGAAATGATTTGCAAGTAGTAAACTAGTTTTATGGGTAATGTTCTTAATACAGGACCCTGATAATGAGTTGTTCTAGGCACCTTAGGTAATATGCTTAATATGGGACCTTGTTAATGAGTTGTTCTGGGTATCTCACATCAATACTCTGGTTTTACCTCAGATTGGACAAGTATACACATCCTCCCAGAGTTGCCATTTCTCTTATTATTTTCCATTAGTGTATTGAGTAGTTATTGTTCTTGAATTCATACATATTGTCTTATTTAGGTCTCCTTTAACATTTTTTTAAAATTTATATATTTGAGAAACTGGAACACACACATATGCACAGAGATTGATTGATTGATTTCCTGTCCCATCACTTCACAGATACCTAAAACAGCTCTGTATGGACCAGGCCAAAACTGGGAACCAGGAACTCAAATCTGGGTCTCTCTTGGGAAGCAAGAACCCAACTAGTCGGGCCATCACCTATTGCCTTCCAGGGTATGCATTAGCAGAAAACTAAAAATCAAAAGTAGACTTGAGACTCCAACATAAGAATTTAGATATGGGCTGCAGGTGCCCCAGGGGGTGTCTTAACCACTATGCTATACAGCCACCCTCATTTAAAATTTTTTTTTGACAGGCAGAGTCAGACAGAGAGACAGAGAAAAAGGTCTTCCTTCCGTTGGTTCACCCCATAAATGGCTGCTACAGCCGGCGCGCTGCACCAATCTGAAGCCAGGAGTCAGGTGCTTCCTCCTGGTCTCCCATGCGGGTGCAGGGCCCAAGCACTTGGGCTATCTTCCACTGCCTTCCTGGGCCACAGCAGAGAGCTGGACTGGAAGAGGAGCAACCAGGACAGAATCCAGCGCCCCAACCAGGACTAGAACCCAGGGTGCCGGTGCCACAGGCAGAGGATTAGCCTAGTGAGCCACAGCGCTGGCCCTCCTTTTAAATTTTTAAGATGTCCTATCATAAAAGAGATTGAGGGGGTCACAATATCTAGTAAACAAAGTCCTTGTAGTAAAATCACACATGCATTAATTGCAGTCTGCTATAGACATTATCCTGCTATTAGCTATTTGTCGTAAGTTCTTGAGAGCATATGGTGGAATGAATATGTATCTGTCCTTATCAGAAAAACTTCTAAATTTAATAGTTAGAAATTTAGAAGAATTTTCTTAATTCAAAATATACTTTTAAAATCAATGGATTTGGTCTAATTGGTGATGCCACAGCCCCTTGCCCCAGAGAGTGTTTCTGGACTCAATTTTTGCCAGATTATTTTTAAAAGTGAGAGTTGAATTATAAATGGAGTTGCTTTGTTAAGTACAGCAGAAAGTGAGGTTGTTGATTTGTAAAGTTTGAGATCACATCAGTATTCCAAACCGAACTTGACTGTTGCTGTCTCATTAAATAACACTGAGTAGACACTTAAAGATTTTTATGCATTTTAATTCAGTTAGTAACTTGATTTAAAACAACATTGATTTTTAAAATTCATTCTTGGTCATGTATATCATGCTAAATATCAAAATGAATTTGTAATTTTTTGAAGCTGTCTGAATAACAAGATGTCAAATTTTTGAGAGGCTTTCTTTCCCCCATGCTAATTTTTGTCAATTTGTTATTACTTTCATTTCATCTTCAGCTTTAGCTTTTTAGAATTGTTATCTTTTCAACATATACTACAATCATTAAACAATTAAATCTTTATCAGTGATAGCAGTAAAAGACTCCATGGATAATAAGGGAATTGGAACCCCCCCCCAAAACAACTTGTGGGCACATCTTCAAAGAAGGGTGTCGTGATAAATTATCCTATGTTCATGAATCATCCAAAAAAGATGGATAGGATGATGAGCATAAAGGGCAATTCTAGTGGAAGGAATGATAGTAATAGTCACCTTGTCCAAACAGACTAATACTTTGACAAGATGCTATTTGCTGTTGCTGCTAAAGTAGGTGCATAGTTAAGTGAGGAGCCACAGTTAACTCGCTGCTATCTTAGAGAATAGAGAGAAAATGTACCCTCAAGTTTCAGGACTCCCTCAGTGACCATATAAAAATTTTCGGAGAATACCTATTTAACCCAGAATTCATGATATTATAACTTTGTAGAATGTTCCTGAAAGTATGAGTGGGATAGGCAGGAAGTTTAAGGAAATATATTTAGAGTTTATTCTTAGCATTTTTTAACTCCAAAGTAACGAATACCTTCACTTTTAATGTTTCCTAAGTGCAGAATTTCAGAGTGGACTATCAAGTCTTTAGTGTGAAGATACGTCTATATTAAACCAGAAATCATTGGCCAATAGTAGTTCAACAAGAATATTTGGAAAATTACACATCTGTGAAAGTCAATCATGGAAATCAAAGAGGAAGGAACGTCAGAAGAAGGCCAGCACTTCCTTCCAGCACAGGCAAATGATACCGGGGACTTTCAGTTCACCAGTAAGTATCTGTGCCCCTCTCTGTAATTCTCTGAAGTTATAAATTGAATAGATGAAAATACCACATAAATACCTGTGTATTCACAGAAATTGGGTTCTAACCAATGACATCTATAAGATTACCTAAATATTTTTCCTTTGCACTACTTTTGTGTAGTGAGTATATGATTATATCTTATATATTTTATTGTGGGTGAGGGTAAATAGTAAAATATCAAAGAATCAAGGGTCTTAAATATATATTAAAATACTCATAAATATTTCCTAAACCTGTGCCCTGGAGATTAATAATCTTTGAAACATCTTCTGTTTTTTGATTTACATAATTTTATGTGGCATTATTTTGTTGGAACATAGAAATATTAAAACCAAAAGGCACTTAATTTGAAAGCAGTAGGAAGAAATTGTTAGACTGGAAGAATAGACTGTTGGTGTTATACCTGAGAGCACTAAGTCACATAAATAGAACAAGTTTGGAGTTTTGGCCAAGATTCACAGCTGAACATTAGAGTTGGTTTTCGTGCCACTCAAGTGATTAAAAATCATTGGAAAAATTGTATATTTTCTCTCATGTTTAAAATTCTAGGGCACAGATTTTATGGTATAGTGTGAATTGTTTCTTTTTCTTTTCATGAGATTCTTGTGACCCAATTATTTAACACTGGCAAACATATGCCTAAGCTTCTCATTTAATTTTCGTTACAAAAATAATCTTCAGAAAATGGTATTGGGTGGATGCATTTTTGAGAAATGTTTTTGTCAAAGCTTACAGCAGAATTAATTGTTAGTAACCTTTTAAAAAATTCAGACTATTTGAAGTTCACAAAGACCTACCTAATGATTGTCACTCTAACCACTCTTGAAAGTCTAAAATTGTTAACCACAGCATTGTTAAATGTCAGCAGCAGGAAAAAAATGGTTACCTTGTTTAAAAAAAAAGTTAATCTTTGAGAATAAAAAATGATTATTTTTATACAAATAATTGGCTTTACAATATGCAGGTGACCAAATGACAGTGAATTTAAGTGACATCTGATCAATGCACCAGGAAAAATAAAAAAGGAAAGGATTTTTATGATAGTCTTATGTTTATTGCCAAGTGGCTTACTTTTCCATACATTTCCTTTTACTTCTTTGGCCGCCCCTGAGTTTTAGCAAAGAACATCATTCATACACCCAGGCCTCATCTGCTCCTATAGAGGAAGCCCCTGTACCCAGCACTGTGTGTGATCTTCAGACCCCCATTTATCATATTATCAATCATCTTAACAGATTCATTGTGCCTTCTCACCATTTGCTGTTCCCATTTCCCCACCTTTGTTCTCAGACTCACTTTCTGTCCAATCTGAACTTAAGTCCTCTAGCCATATTGTTATCTTCCTAAACATCACTGACAAAAGGAAAGGAATCACATAACAGAATATTGATGTGAGAGAGCAATAAACAGGCAGAGGAGTCAGCACCATAATAATATCAACCATAGTGTATCTAATCCAGTTAGTTCAGAATTCACTAGAGCCAGTCAGAATGACGAGGAAGGAAAACCTATTGAAGAAAGTACTTGGTGAGGCAGTTCTTTTTCAAGTTTTAGTCTGTCTACCTGCGCTCAAAAGAAACCGTAAAATATGTTTTATATTTGTCACTGCTTACCAAAAAACATTTCTGTTTCTCCATGGTCATACAGCTGCATAGACCAATGACATCTTTAGCTATTTCTATCTAGTTCTGCTACAGATGTTATGCACTCACCTAAGAATTAATTAATTACAAGTCTGATTAAACTAGTTTCAGTGAAATATAGTAATAATATTGACAGTCTTGCTAATGAATCTTTTTAATCTACACCTGTAATCTATAGGCATTCCGAAGACTCCAAATGAGCCACAGTTGGAATTCATCCTTGGTAAGGAATTTCATCTTATTCATATCAATAAATGTAACAAGAATTTGTACAGCAGTTGGCAAGTTCTAAGTATATATCATTATATATTTACAGACTTTTGTGAAAACTATTCTATTTATGAATTGATACTATAAAGAAAGTTTTATTTTCCAAAATCCGTAAGAATTTGAACCCCTGTACAGATCCATTTGCTACCCAAGGTTGGATGGTTCAGTGGTGATAGTTTTTTTTTTTTTTTAAACAGGGGTGCCTCAAAAATTTTATGGGAAAATGAAATGAAAATTTAATCTTTAATGCAAAAGAATTTAGAAATCCAGGCATAGTTTTTTCATAATATACATCATTTTTTCCATGAACTTTTTGAAGACGCGTGTAGTTTGAGGGTTAGGAGAATTCTCTTTGTAGCTTTTTTTTTAAGTGGCAATTTTTTAAAGATTTATTTATTTATTTACTTGAGAGAGTTTCAGAGAGAGAGAGAGAGAGAAAGAGAAAGTTCTTTCATCCACTGGTTTGTTGCCCAAATAGCCCCAACGGCTGGAGCTGGGCCAATCTGACCCAGGAACTTCTTCCAGGTCATCTATGCAGGTTCAGGGGCACTTGGTCCATCATCTGCTGCTTTCCCAGGCCATAAGCAGAGAGCTTGATTGGAAAAGGAGCAGCTGGATCATGAACCAGCGCCCATATGGGATGCCAGAGCCATATGCAGAGACTTAGCCTACTACACCACAGTGCCCGCCCCTAAGTAGCTGTTCTTATAAATAGGTACTTCACAACCATTAACCAAATTATCCATAGTTTTTTGCTTACATCAACTTTAACAATGGAATAGCACTGAAACAAGGAGCAATGATCTTAGTAAATTGTGGATACAGAGTCTTCAAAAAGTTCCTGAAAAACATGTATTATGAATGAAAAAGCTATACATGGATTTCTTTTTTATTAATTTTATTTAAGGTATACAAGCTTCATGTGTTTCGTATATACAGATTTAGGAACTTAGTGATTCTTCCCACCTTACCCTCCCTCCCGCCAGCACTCCCACCCTTCTTCCTCCTCCTCCTCCTATCCTGATTATTTTTTACAAAGATCTATTTTCAGTTAACATTGTACTCATAAGATTAACCCTACACTAAAGAGTTCAACAAATAGTGTGGGAAAAAAAAAAAAAAAAGCTGTTCATCAACAGTGAAGACAATGGCTGTTCAAAATCATCACATCTCAAAGTGTCAATTTCACTTCTATAGAATATTTTTTAGGTACTCTATTAGTTACCATAGATCAAAGAGAATGTATGATATTTGTCTTTTTGGACTAGTATAATGGTTTCCAGTTGTATTCATTTTTTCTCAAAGGACAGGATTTCATTTTTTTTTTTTAAGATTTTATTTATTTGAGAGGTAGAGTTATAGACAGTGATAGGTAGAGACAGAGAGAAAGGTTTTCCGTCTGTTGGTTCACTCCCCAGATGGCTGCAATGGCCAGAGCTGTGCCTATCCGAAACCAGGAGCCAGGTGCTTCTTCCTGGTCTCCCACACGGGTTCAGGGGCCCAAGGACTTGGGCCATCTTCTACTGCTTTCCTAGGCCACAGTAGAGAACTGGATTGGAAGAGGAGCAGCCAGGACTAGAACCAGCGCCCATATGGGATTCCGGCGCCACAGGCAGAGGATTAACCTACTAGTGCCAGCCCCTATCTATCTATCTATCTATCTATCTATTCATTGTGGTGACAGCATTTTGCATATCACTGAGGTCTTCTGACTGTAGATCACATGCCCTACACTCATTTCTAACACAGTGACTGCATTTTGTTGCTAATCAAGACTTCTAGAAATCTAATTTTTTACTCCTTGGGCTGTAAACTAGCTACATGTAGAATTTCTCCTTGTGTTCCTTTATGTCATTACAAGATTCTTACCCCAGTTTATTATTCAAAAATACTCCTTATTCTCCCATACTGATTTTCTAGAGAGACCCTTGGCTTTTGGAATCTTAACATTAAATCCCAGCTTTGACTTAGTTAAGCCACTCTAAAGATCTATCATATGTCAAAATTAGTAATTTTGTTAAGGGATGAATTCAAAATATGCACTTTGAGACTGATCTGCTACTTTACCGGTGAGCAGAAGTCACTTTGTATTTGAATCAAATGTATGACAACAGAAAAATGCCACTAGGAAAATGACTGCACAAGGATATTTAATTTAATATGACTCATATCAATTTTTAGAGAAGTTTTGCCTCTCATGGTTCTGGAAAACTTTTAAAAAGTACTCTTTTAAATTAAATTTTACAGATCAACACATACATGTACATATTCAATTTCATGTGCAGAGACCAGATGCATTTCACTATCCACATCTGTATATATTTATAAACAGTTTTTCAAGTTTTTGGAGGCAAATTAAAATATGTACATATGCTGTTGTAGTGGTTTTTACCGCTTTGAAGTCCCAATTGTTATTTTTATTTTAAGATTTATTTATTTGAAAGGCAGAGTTATAGGAGGACGGGGAAGACAGAGAGAGATTCCATCCACTGGTTCACTACCTAGATGGCTGCAAAGCCAGGAGCCAGAAGCCAACTCTGGGTCTCCCACGTGGATACAGGGGCATAAGCTCCTGGGCCATCTTCGGCTGCTTTCCCATGTACATCATCAGGGAGCTGGATCAGAAGTGGAGCAGCTGGCGCCGGCATCCCATATGGGCACCGGGTTCTAGTCCCAGCTGCTCCGCTTCCAGTTCAGCTCTCTGCTGTGGCCCAGGAGGGCAGTGGAGGATGGCCCAAGTGCTTGGGCCCCTGCACCCACAGGGGAGACCAGGAGGAGGCACCTGGCTCCTGGCTTCGGATCGGCGTAGCTCTGGCCATAACGGCCATTTGGGGGGGTGAACCAACGGAAGGAAGACCTTTCTCTCTGTCTCTCTCACTGTCTAACTCTATCTGTCAAAAATTAAAAAAAAAAAAAAAAAAGTGCAGCAGCTGGGACTAGAACCTGTACCCATGTGTGATGCTAGTGCCTCAGGCAATGGCTTAACCCATTATGCCAAAATGCTTACTCCAAAGTCCCAATTATTAAAGGAACATACATTTTCATTCATTGTTTTTCAGTATATTTATTTTCTCAAATACTCTGGTTTGAAGTATAACTTGAGATATTAATGTATATGATTAGTGTTTTGAGTTTGTAGTTAATATTATACCTAAAAGGTACTGTAAATTAAGGATTCTAGAACCTGCTAAATCCCCCAGGTATTGAGAAATACACAGAAATGAAATTCTCAGGTAACACCAAGAAAGCCGTGCGAATTTTGCTAGAGAATTTTCAGATGGTGCCAGATACAGAAAGAACTTGTTTTCAGAGAGAGAAATGAGGGGTCAAAGGAAGCCCAGGCACCTGCTGCCCCCCTGAGCAATGCTCCTGCTTCTTCTTCCTTCACCTACCCATCGTTCCTTTCTAAAGGAAACTTAATTTTTAATTTTTGACAAGATTACTGAAAAAGTTGTTCAAGTGATGGGTGGTGCCTTTCAAAGCCCAAATAAAGCCTTCTTGTTTGTGTGATAGAAATAGGGGCAGCCTGAAGGAGGAGACAGGACAACCTGGGCAGAGGCTGTGAGTCAGACGCAGGGGCTGACACTCAGGAGCCAGTGTGCATGGGCCAAGTACCTGTCTTCTGTTTCAGTTATAATAATCTGTCTATTTGTTGTTGAAAGCCTAGTCAAGTTCATTAGCAATTCTGTCATCACTTGTATATCTGGTTTTGAATCCTAAAATTAAGAGGTCACCAGCTGCAAGTATTTATTCATCATAATGTTATTCCAGTTAAGAAAAAATTCAAAAAAATTTTTTTGACAGGCAGAGTGGATAGTGAGAGAGAGAGAGAGAGAGAGAGAGAGAAAGAGAGAGAAAGGTCTTCCTTTTTTTGTCGTTGGTTCACCCTCTAATGGCCGCCACGGCTGGAGCGCTGTGGCCTGCGCACCGCGCTGATCCGAAGGCAGGAGCCAGGTGCTTCTCCTGGTCTCCCATGGGGTGCAGGGCCCAAGCACTTGGGCCATCCTCCACTGCCTTCCCAGGCCACAGCAGAGAGCTGGCCTGGAAGAGGGGCAACCGGGACTAGAACCCGATGTGCCGGCGCCGCTAGGTGGAGGATTAGCCTAGTGAGCCGCGGCACCGGCCTAATTTTTTTCTATATTGATTTAAAACCTATACCAGGATTCTTAATCATGGATGATTTTATTTTTTCAAATGGCAAGAGAGCAAAAGTTTATAAAAATAAATTTATTTAGAGTCTTCAGGGAATTTTATTTCTTTGTAATGTATTTGAAAGGGGGGAGGGAGAGATAAAGAGAGAGACAGAGAGAGTTCACAGCAGTAAGTTGATTCCCCAAATGCCTACAACATGCAGGACTGGGTCAGGTGGAAGCCTTGAACTGGGAACTCCATCTGTCTCCCACAGGGATGGCAGGGTATCCCAATGGCCTGGACCATCTCCTCCTGCTCTCCGTGTGCGTTAGTAGAAGGCTGGAGTCAGAGAGCACTCCAAGGTGTATGCAGGCATCCTAACTGCTAGGCAAAGGTCTGTCTACCTCCACTCCCACCCTCCTTGGAACTGTGGTCATGCTCCAAGACGCATTCTCTAAACCATGGTATTCATTAGCACTTTAAGATCCTTCACTATGCCATTTCTTGAAATTTTTTAAGAAAATAATCTCTGAAGAACATCATAGCTAATCTCTTACAGATTTTACTACACTAGGGGATTTCAAACAGTTCACAGAAAAATCAAAAGATATTGTGCATTTCCACAAACTTTTTGAAGTTCCCTTGTATATTTATTACTTTTGTCTTTGAATTTTCTTAATCCCACTAACGGTTTTGCTTTTAAAGTATAAATAATTGTGTTCACTTCATATTGAATAATGGGGGAATAATAGCTTAAATATTTTTTAATCATCGTTTAAGTGTACATATATTTATGTCATCAACAGCTAAAAATGACAAATT